ATTCTATGACTGCTCTATGAGGTCTTCTAGCATAGGAGCTGGGCCCTATCTGTAGCTTCACAGTGAAATCCCAAAGCAGTGCAGAGCTCTGGGGAAGAGTCAGACTGGTACCACATGTTTTAAACTTCATATTGCAGGAACCTGCAGCCACAGCAAATCAGATGAAGATTTGGGTATATCAAGATGTGTCAAGAACACAAAGGTATATGTACTAAAGATTCACATTAATGAGTTACTGAACATCTCCTGGTACATCTCACTGCCGCAGGAATGTTTACCTTGCTGTCCTGGCTGCTTTTCATCCCGGCTAATAGAGTCTCACCAGAACTCTAAACTGTGCCCTTGCACAGCCTTGCCTGTTTCAGTGGTATACCCTATGTGACAGAGTCTGACTTGCATTGTTTTTAGAGTTGTTTCGCATTCCAAAGTCACACAGACCCACACAGACACATCCTCTTAGCCTTCTCAGCAATAATTCCTACAAATGAGAGGGTCCACACAAAGAGATAGTCAGTATTTTCTAGCACATTAATCAAATAACCGTTCAGTTGTTGCCTTATGTGTTGGAAGTGGACATGTTGTCAAATAAAATGATTTTATAGATTATCCTCTGTACTTCCCAGATGGAGAATTTAGAAACATTGTGTGCACAAAGTCCTTTAGGAAAAGATCGATGTCTATTCATTTCATCTTCTGTTGCTTACTCAGGAAAATCTCATTCTTAATGTTGCTCCCCAGAGGAGCTTTTCCATCCCTGACTTTTAAAACCAGTGGTTGTTTCTAAGTGCATGTTGAAAGCAGAGCCTGGACTGCATTCATCTGAAGGCTGTTGGGTGGCAACTTGCAATGACCTCAAAGAAAAGAAGCAAGTGAGCAGCTATCCTGGCTTCTGTATGGCCAGGGGTTCCCTGGGAATGAGTGCTGGCTTTTGGCTTGCCCTTATGTGTCACAGGACAAACTGAAAGCATTGCTCAGTCTGCTGAAAGCTGCACCGAGCCCTGAATTAAAGAGCCCGTCCCATCACGGTACTCAACAGGTGTTGAGATTGGACTGTGCTGTGGCTTGGTGCTGGCAGTAGGGCTTTGTGTTTTGCAGAGTGGCTCCTTGCTGCCAGGAGAGGCTTTTGGATGGTCTCTGTTGTTCTCTGCTTTTGAGCTGTCTGAGGTGTGTCTTGGCCCCAGTCAAACTGTCAGAGGCAATGGGGAAGGTTGGAAAGTGCCCTCCTTTCCCCATGCAAAGTGGCCAGAGGCTGGGGAACGAAAGCAGCTCAGCTGAACAAGGTAGGCTTCAGATCCCTTGCTTCCCATGGTGGTGAGTATGCCCATCAGGGCTGCTGCACAGCCAGCCCCTCTCGTGCCCGCCTCTGCCTCCATTAATTTCAAGGAGCTGTCATGATGTTCTTGCAGCAAAATGTTCCCAGGCCTCCCGCTCCCACACGCTCTCTGCCTCTCGGTGTCCTTCTGTCACATCTCTCACATTAACGTAATGCCTTCCCGGGGCAGTGTTACACTCCAGCCCTTCTCTCCATCCATCTCCTCCACTCTTCGTGCCTTCTGAGGAGGCAGCTCTCAGTGTGGCTGTAGGTGAGAGATGAGATTGTGTGGGAGCAATCTGTGTTTGGCCTCCAGACAATTTATGACAGCTCAGGACGCAGCTGTATTTATGGTTGCTTTCCTAGGCCTAGAGACGAACAAAATGCTCACAGAATAGGGAAGCTGCAGAGTGGGGGAAAGGACAGCCCTCACCAGCCACAGTGGCCTGGGAGGGGTGGCCTGATGGGCCACCAGAACCCCCCTCCATCAGCAGTGACCTTTCTGTGGTGACAGAAAGGGGCAGCCAGCCAAGAGAAGGGCACTTCCCCTCAGGGGAGCAAACCCAGCGCTGTGCTGCCCTCTGTGCAGCTGCTGAGAGCGGCCCAGGAGCAGGGATGCTGCTCTTCCCTCTGCCACACAATCCCAGGGAAAGGTCAACTGCTCCCCATTGTGTGGCACTGGGTCAGTGAGCCCTCGCCCACCTCCCCGTGTCACTGCACAGTCCTTGTCAACTTCTGCCATGCTCCTTTCCTCCTTGCACAGGCAAGTCTGGCAACACGCTGACCCTGGAGCAAGAGCTGGCAGTGGCTGCAGTTTGGCTCTCATCCCACCCCACCTGGCTCACCAAGTGTCACCTCCGGGCTCCTGCTGTGTCCCCAAGGCTTTAATGGGCTGGAGCACCTGCTGGGCACTCACCACCTCTCAGCAAAGCTGGAGAGGTCGGGCACCAGCTCCTTTGGGATTCAGTCAGATGGGGACAGGGGGTGCAAGACCCAGCCTGTGTCCATGCAGGACACCTGTGGCTTTGGCCTGATGCTTTGATCTGTGCTTCACCTGTTGTTTCAGAGCTGGGTAAAAGAATCTTTTCTCCTTAAAAGCTCGTAGCAAAGGAGGAAACCAGGAAGTTATTGGATTGGTCATCAAATTCAGACTGTCTTTTTGGAAAAGCCACCTGATGCTTGAGTGTATGGTAATGGTCCAGTTTGCAGCAGAGCTGAGTTGGTCTAGGAGCCCAGAAGGTTTGTGTTCCTGACTCGAGGGGACCTGCTTTTGCAAAGCCAGCACTTTGCCATGCTAGCCTCTAGGGATCTCCAGAAACTCTTCTTTCTCTGTTTTGAACTGTTTTTTTAACATTAAAAAAAGACTACTCTAAGGAAGTCTCAGCACTGTGGAACTACTTGGTAGGGCATATAGAGCTCCTAGAAGGGGAAGGAAAGAAGAAAGGAAGGAAGGAAGGCTCAAATAGTTTGCATGCATAATATTAACTGTACAAAACCTTAGAATAGCTTTGTCACAGCACATAAGCTGACCCCCAGGAAATAGGGTCTGTGATGTTTTTTCCAAATTTTTACAGACAAGCAATACCAAGTATTTTGAAGCTCCTAAAATGGAAAACCATAAGCAATGGTACTTATGAAAAGGATTTTTAAAAGCCAGGAAGCACTGTCTGCTTTTGAAAATCCCACTTTCTGTTTTGTAGTAATGAGCAAGGAAAAGATCAGAGCTATGAATCAGCTGTAGGTTTAACTCAGCAAATTGAACAAGCTTTGCAAAGTATCAGGGGCCCAGATAGCATCTGGTACAAAAGCCAAATTCAACATCTCCAACGAAAATGCAACAAAAATTGGTCATGATGAAGTCTTAGCAGAGCAGCAATATTTACACCAGAGATATACCTTTTAAAATCTTTCAGGCTGGATTAACAGAGATTGAAGGAGTCTAGAGAAGGAGTCTTGCTGGCATTGATGAAGGGTATGGGTAGAGCAAGCCCTAGCAAAAATAAAGCTGATTTAGCTCAGAAAGAAGAATTGGAGGTGATATTTCTTGCATTTTCCTGCACTGATCAACAGGCAGATTGGTCCAAACTCTACTTCTACCCCTGTGCCATCCTTTGAAAAAGAAGGGTTGAGACCAAGATCGAGACCAGAGTCAGCACAGGGAACAGGATTTCCTCAGATAGAGTGCAGGAGCAATTATAACTTGAGGGTCAAATCGTAAGATGACCAAGTAATTGTGTGGTCATTAATGGTATCAGTAGGAATGCAAGCAGCTGTGATGATTCTCCTATTCTGTGCTGAAGTGGTGATTTTCCAGAGGCTGCTGGCTGTGGCAACATCCCCAGGGCGGGGATCACAGCATCCCCGGGGTGCAGGACTGGAACACTTGTTCTCTGAAGTGCTGTGAGATCAAATATACAAGGTATATTTAATGCCAAAGGCTACAGGCTGAGGCACATAGAGATTTGAATTTGGGTCTTTCTTCCCAGATTGCCAGTGATTATGATTGCAAGTCCTGCTTTTCTCTTCCTTCCCATTGCCAGTCAAGACTGATTGTGCACAACATGCACCTGGGCCTGATCTGACAGCTGAGGATGGGCAGGAAGAAAGAGGAGGTTGTTGCTGCAGGGCCATGTGTGGGTACAGAGCTGTGGGAAGCAGGGATCTTTCACTGTCAGGAGGGGCAACATGCCTGGTTGCTCTTGAGGCACTTGTTTTGAGGTAAGGGAAACACTTTTTATGTGGAACTACTTCTGGTTTTAAAAATGCAGTTCCAGCTTGGGACTGGGGTCAGCTAGAAGTCCAGAAGCTCCAAGATGGCAAGCAGATGCCCATTCAGAGGAGTTACATGTGCAGACAATGTTGTATTTAAGAGAGTGTTACCAGCTTGGAATCAAAGCACCAATGTGTTCAGTCATGAATGAGGGGTGGGACTGCATGAACCTTTGCAGCCACTGGGAGAATGAGGGGAGTGCTGGGGTCATTTTGAGGTTGCAACAGTCAGTGCAGCCTGGCTGTAAGGAGGCAGTGGGTTGGCAGAGTGTTTGACTTGGTTTTCTTGTTCTCTTTGGGTGTGAAGGTTGTGGGAGAGTAGCCTCTGCATAAGGCATGTATTTGCTGTGAAGGAAACTATGGCACAGTGAGCTCTTCTTTTCCTACAAAAGGGTACAAGAACTTGTAAGAAATTTGCTAAAGGAGAGACATAGGATCTGCTGTCCAGCTGCTCCAGCAGCCAGCACTTCTCAGAGCAGGCCAATGAAGCTGAGGCAGCAGCATGGTGCCAGCAGGGTGCGTGTGCTTGTGTGGCTGCGGTTGTACATGTATGTGTATGTGTGTGCCATGTGTGTGTGTGTGCACAGGGGTAACAGGGTGAGGGAAGCCTGCTTCTCTGCTGGCCATCAGACCTTACTGCCCACAGACTGAGCCCTGAGCCAGTTTGCTGGGGGACTGTTTTTGTCTAACTTCACTTTGTAGTTTGGCCTGCTATTCTGTCTTTGGATTAAACAGAAAATTGGCCAATGTCACTCGCAGAAGGGGGGCTTTAGCCTTCCTCAAAGGACCACGTTGAGTTTGTTCAGTGGGTGAGAAAACTTTGACTCTCTAATGTACCCATTTAACTCCGTCCTTCCTTGACTTTTGCTTCTCTGTTCCCCTCTCCCCTTTATGACCCTTATTATTTTTCCATCCACAGCAAAACAGTTCACATCAAGGTAATTGATGATGAGGAGTATGAAAAAACCAAGAATTTCTTCATTGAGCTGATGAGCCCCCGCATGGTGGATATGAGTTTACAGAAAGGTGTAGTACTGGCCCTGCAGACTAACATTAACGTTCTTTCCTCCTCTCTTCCATCTCCTTCCTCCTCTTCTCTTCCTCTGATGTCTCTCTGTCTCCAACTGCTCTGCCCTAAACACTGCTGTGCGCGCACACTGTGTCACATGGTACCCATGGGGTGGCATGGGGAGTGGTGCTGGGGCTGCTGAGAGGCAAAGTGGCGAGGGGGAGAGAGAGAGAAGGATGGAGAGCAGTCCTGCTTGTCTGTATTTCTGTGGTGACTTGAGAGGAACTTTCTGCCACCCCCACTGGAGGGCCCAAGCAAATTTTGTAGTGTCAGAGGGAAGATGCTGGCTAGAAACACATCCAGCATCTCAGGAGATCATTGGCCAGCCCTGGTCCTATGGGTTGTTCCAGTCAAACCCGTGTTAGAAAAAATACAGGAATTGAGGTCTGGCAGACAAACACCTCTGTGACTTCTGAGAAACAATGGGCAAAGGCTGTCACATAGTAACTTTGGGAGCAGGAGCTGAGGCCAAGGAAGAGCTAGTGCCTGCTTTGGTTTGCCTGGAGGCTCACAGCATCTGTGTGCTTTACAGGGGTACTGGAGGGAGCCAGATGAGCTGGCCTCAGGGAGAAGAGGCTAGACCTGCTCCAGTGCTCAGGGCATTTCCTTTTGAGCCTTGAAGGCATTGTCCCACTGTGTCCCCTGTGAGGTCCCAACCAAACTAACTGTCCCCTGGGAAGACTGTGTCCTCATTTGAGGAACAGGACAGGAGGATGAGGTAGATACTGTCAAGGAGGAAAAGCAAAAAGGTGTGCCATTTTAAAAATGGGAGTTAGAACCATCAGCCTCCTTAGCAGCTGGTGGAGCAGTAGCCACTGGCAGAGACCTACGTCACCCCACTGGGGAACGTGTCTCTCTCTTCTCCTCAGGTTCCCAGGTTCCCAGCCCAGAGTCCTTGCAGATTTATTATTAATCGTGAGGGTATTATTACTGTATTTATTATTAATGGTAAGAAGAAATTGGTCTTCCAGCTAAAACGCAGTGGGTAGCTCAGGGTGGTGGTCCCTGGTGCTTTTCAGGCAACCGACACCCTTTCCATTACCATCTGACACTGAAAAAAAATGCGCTGCAGAAATCGCCTTCCGCTAACCATCAGCAAGGTCCTCCTCCCACTTCTCCCTCCCTCCCTGCTCCCTTGCCAGCCCCCTCTGCCCCTAACCCCCCGCTCCCAAGGAGCTGCTGCGAGGATGCTGTGTCCGACAGGCGTGCCCACGCGCACCGTCCCAGCGGGAAGGGGCTGTGTGCCAGGAGCCCCCGCTGCCGCCGCCGCTGCTGCCGCCTCGCCTCCAGCCAGCCGACCCGCTGTACACGGTTGTCTCTCTTGTTGTCCCTACAGGAAGACCATAAGGGTTAAGATAGTAGATGAGGAGGAATACGAAAGGCAGGAGAATTTCTTCATTGCCCTTGGTGAACCGCAATGGATGGAACGTGGAATATCAGGTGTGAGATCCTTTATGAAAAAAATGCAAAAAAGAAAAAAATCAGAATCAAGTATCCAAACCCCAAATCCAAAAAATATAACCGTCTTTCTCCTCCTTACCCTTCCTCCTTTTCTCCTCCTCCTGTAGAGGGTTCGACTTTTATTCTTTGCCCTCCTGTATTCTTGCTCTTACCCTGTTTCGGTGTCATCTCTGCCTTTAAGAGCCTAGCTTACTTCTGATCCTCCTTTTGTGCAATGCTTGAGTCTCGGAGGCTGTGTTATTTTGATTGGATTTCCTTGTCTTGATCTGTTTTTTGTTCTGAGCACACCTTTGCTGTTCTCCCTGCTCCTGCTTCTTTGCCAGGATCTTGGGGAATGCAAAAGGCAAGAGAAGGGTGTAATGCATGGCTGCCCCCTTCAATTCCTCCTGTACTCCCTCTGTCCTTTCCTCTGTTGTTGCCTCCAGTGGCACTGCTTTGGTGCTCTTGGGTCCCTGTGAAGTGCAGTGAAAAGTCCATAGGATAAGAGAAGGTGTTAAGTAACTTGGCTTGCTTTTTTTTTTTTAAATGGTTCTTCATGTCTTCCATTTGAAAACCCCTTTAATGTGTCACAGACATCACAGTCTGTCATGCAGAGAGTGTGAAGTTCTACTGAGGTCCTACTTCATCAGCAGTGAGACCCAGGATCTCCCAGCAGACCAGGATTCGTAGCTGGAATAAACCCAGACTTACGGTTGTGTCTTGCCTATATCTATCTTTGTCCTTGTCCTGTATGTGTTTGACCCCTTTCTCACTGAGTCTTGCCACTGGCTTCACTGGCTTTGGGGTGGCCTGGGAGGGCCAAGATTTAAACAGAGGCACTTTACAAAAGGGAATTCAAATCCACCTTCTGGGTGCTGTTACAGACTAGAGCCAGATGTGTGTGCCCACAGACTTACTTCTATTCTCTGGTGCTGCTGTCAGTGATGGGACACCTGGCCACTGCCCATGCACTGCACAGCACAGCTTTTCCTTGCTGAAATGTCTTCTATTTCTTACCTCACCAGCACAGCTGCCCTCTGGCCCATCCAAGCTCCCATAACTGCTCCATAGGACGTTCAGGACAGACACAGGTTTATGTTAGCATTTCAGTATTGTATAGCATCCGTGGACTTGTAAAATGTACACCTATATTTTAATGCTGTCAGATTGCCTCCTGCAGCCCTCATACAGGCAATGAGGTATATCAGGTTTCACTTTGTCAAGCACAGGCCTTCAGTTTTCACTGAAGTCCAACTGCCCTTGAGCAGAAGCAGCGATCAACCCTGCCATATCCCATGGGAGTATGTTCCAGCAGTCAACTGCCCTCCAGGGTAAAGATGTGAGCATGTCTTGTAGGATGAAATTGTCTGGCCTTAGCTTGTAGCCACTAGTTATTTTACTACTTTTTTCCATCATATAAAAGAACTGTATAATGCCACAGCTTCCATGTAGGTATCTGTTCACTACACCTACAGTATGCTCAGATCTCTTCTTGGACATTGTGAAGGCCAAATGTTCAGTCCTGGATCAAAGTCTTCAGTCCTAGAACCATATTGGGGTCTCCTCTCCACATGTGTACCTTCCCATCCATGGGTCTCTCACCTCCATCTCAGCAGGTACAGGTGGAAAATCACAGGCCCCTGGCTTTTTCCTGCTTATGCACTTGGCAGCTTGGAGCAATACAACAAATTTTTTCTCAGCTGTCTGTTCTCTGCAAATCCTGCATCCTTTTCTAAACAACAAGTAGAATCAGAATATGGAGTCAGAAATGGACTGTTTTTATGAAGTCCCACTTTTTTTTTCCTACACAGGTCATGTTGCACCTGGCTGAATAAGAGCAAGTGTTTGAAAAAAATCCAAATGGCCTCTGAAGTGGTAAAACGTCCTCATTATTACTAGGACTAGAGAGCCATTTTGCTGTATCATATATCTTTTATTTACATCTGTATCAGCTCTAGTTAGTGTGATTGATTTGCAACAGGCAGAGAAGAGGTCAGAGCTGGACTAAATTGATCTGCAGCACAGAGCCTGCAGGCCAGGAGGTGAGAGGTGAGGGCACATCCTTGGACAGACCCTCTTTTGTCTGGAGGAAGTAAAGGACCATGCCAGGGAGGAGGCCTCATTAGAGAAAAGTCAGACTGAGAGCACATGGTTTTAAAATGTAAGAGGCAGGAGATTGAACTGCATTTGTAAATGTTGCTGGCACAAGGTGGCACAGTCGCTACACTAAATTCAGGACATCTGGAAAGATCCCCAGCTCCGTAGCGCTGCACTTTGCGGCATCTCCGATGAGCCTACCTTGTGCCTGGCATGAAGAATAAGGAGCTACGTGAGGCTTTCCCATAGAGAGCATTGTGAGTGATGGAGAGCAGATGCTGTGGCCAGCAGCTTCACAGAATTCACGCATGAGCAGCTGGCTCCCGGCGGAGAGGAGGCAGCCTGGGCCACGCTCGGCCATCGTGCGACGTGCCATGGGCTTTGGGAAGGGATGCTCGTGCTGACTCCAGCACACGTGTTCCTGCCGGCTTCATGCAGGTGCTGCCATTGCCCCGTGCACACAGACGGGGAGAATCCCACACCACAGTCACCTAGTGGGGACTCTGCTGGGTTTTGTTGTGGTGATGGATGTACCCCCATGTGACTCACATGGCAAGGGCAAAGCACAGCTTCTGCCTCTCCTTGGGGGTCCAGGCCCAGTAGCTTTTGAAGTAGAATCTCTCTGCGTTTTGGCTACTCATGTGTTTGTTCCCAGTGCTGCAAAAGGTGTGGTTTTCTTGACAGTGTGTCCCTGCTTTGTTGTTACTCCTCACTTAGCTGTGTCACACTGAGCCTGTGCCTGAGGAACTGTAGGAGTATTGATGCTCTCAGCTATTTACAACATCTTCAGAACCTCTCCTGGCTCCTCTGGAAGCGGGGTGGTGTTGGGCATGTCAGATGAATGGCAGTCATATTTGGAAGTAATCTGCAGTCCGGGTCAGGCAGAGACAGCCCGTTGTGCCTGCACTACCATAGCTTTGTGCTAAGGGCCTGCACCAGCCCAGAACCTCTCCATGCAGAGGGCAGCTCCTGACTTACCTCAGGGATACAAACTAAGTGGCAGTGATGAAATCAGGGGTGAAATGTTCCCTGAAGTGATGGCAGAGCTGATGACAGGGAGAAGTAGTATGTGCTTTTCAAACCAGCCTGGGGCAGAGTTTCAGTGGTTTATTTTGGGATGCAGATCTTGGTCCAGAGCCTGGTGCTATTCAGACCCAGTGTGCTGTCCCTGAGGATACCCACACTGCTGCAGGCTTCAGAGGCAGTGGTTCTGACAGGCATGCAGTGGAGGAGGATGGCAGGTGGGAGCAGGACTTGCTACCACACAGTTGATTTGCATTACTGTCTGTGCTGTCCTGTACACCTGCCAATACAAAGCAGTCACTTCCAGTCAAGGGAACTTCTCTTTGGCCCTGATCAGAGCTATGAGGCACAGGGGTCTCCAGGAGGGTCTCTGTGAGGGTCAGAACTCAGCATGAAATTCACCTTATT